CTCCCCAGCCCTGCCAGTGCCCCTCAGTCCCGACCCACAGCCTCCTGGTATCCCGGCCCTGGACTCCCCCCTCCTCTGCCACCCCATAGTGGGGGAGGGTGGGGTGTCTCACCCCGGCCTGGTCCTTGCGGAGCTGGGATTTGATGTAGGTGGTGCCTTTGATCAGCACCCAGATGTGCTGCTGCTTTTCGTGCTGGGTGGATTGGGGGGGGGGGAGGTGTCAGTCCTGGGGCTGCTTCGAGACAGTGTCCCTGCTTCCCCTGTGCCAGCAAGGAACCCCAATATTCACCCCCGCAATCCGTCCCTTTCCCCCCAGAGGGCACCCCCATCCTCCCACAACTTGTCCACTCCCTCCCTTCCCCCATCATCGCCACACCCCTATATTCCCCCCCAGCATGCACCCCCTCTACTTCCTTCCCCCTAGGCCAGCCAAGTACCCTGTGGATCCCCCTCCAGGAACCCCCCACCCACGGGCCCCCTCCCAGCCAACCCCTCTTCATCCTCCTGTGTGCCCTATTGTCCCCCCACCCCCCAGGCAGGTCCCATGTCCAGAGGTTGCCCTGCTCTGACCCCCAGATTCTCCCCCACACTCCCCATCAGGTGGCAGAAGTCCAGGATGCGCTGTTGCTTGCTCTGCGAGGCCTGCAGTTCCGCGTGGCGGGCACTCGCCTCCCGCTCCTGGCAGCCCTGGTGCAGCCCATCCCGTAGCCCCGCCAGCCGCACAGCCTGCAGCTCCAGCTCCGGCACAAGCCGGCTCAGTGGGGAGATGGGGACCAGCAGGGGGCGCGCTCTGTAGGTCTTGGGTGGCACCAACAGCACCGGGGGACCACAGGGGGCAGGGAATCTTCCCAGCAGGGGGCACTCTCCCAGGGGTGGGCGGTCACTGACTGTGCAGGAGGGACCCTGGGTGGTGGGGATGTCTCCCCGGCAGGGGGTGCCCACCACAGGGCCCCAACAGTGCAGGGGGACCCCATGGGACAGGGAAGTCTCCCCAGCAGGAAGTGCTCTCCAGGGGGCCCTGACAGTGCAGGGGGACCCCTGGGGCGGGAAGTCTCCTCAGCACACAGATGGGGCCACCTCCCCTCCCTGCTATATCCCAGCCCCTGGGACCCACAGATGTGGCCCGCTCCCCCCACACACACACACTATATCCTAGCTGCTGGGATTGCCCAGCCCCCAGATGCGGCCCTGCCTGCCCCTCCCCATGTCCCCACTCACCTGTATGAGGCCCCGGACTGAGGGCAGGGCTGCTGGAGGCCCCGCCAGGTCTTCCAGGCGGGCGCTCTCGTAGCGGAACCTGCAGGCCAGAGGGCAGAGGTACAGGCCCCAGCACTGGTGCCATGGGTCACTGCAGCACCGACAGCCCCCCAGAGCCCTGACTCTGCCCCCTGCAGTACAAACTGCCACCACCAGGGGGCCAAAGCCCCACAGCAGCCCCTCTCCTGAGCTCTGACTCTGCCCCCCCCAAAACAGGCCACCACCACTGGGGGCGACGGCTCCGTACAGCACCATGCACCCACACTGCCACCCCCTT